CGGCAATGCGGACCAGACTCTGACACCGGTCATACAGGGACCTGACAGCCTGTATCAAAGGGCCCGATACCTCATACTCCCGGAGGACTTAAGAGTGTGACCCCTCTGTAATTGGAGCACCTCTGTAATTGGTGGTCCCCCTTTTTTAACAGGTGACCACCACCCCAGTGTGCCAATTGCCCCTGAAGGGGAATTGCCCCTGATGTCCATGCAATTTTGCAGAGTCGCGCCAACCAACACAACCCTACAACATCTAGAGCCTTAAGGAACCCACATCAATGCCAACTTTATGGAGAAGAAATTAATCCTTATATAATCCAATGTTTTCAGGTTTTATACGGTGACTATGCCATAATACAGGATCAAAACTCAAAAACTGCTATTTAATTTAGGAATAATAACAGGTCAGGCTAAAAGAGCAACCACAGTTCACCCTCCTGTCACAGACTGTCACAACACTGATCAACAGCATTGTCATGTTTCTGGGTCATTTTCAGATCCACATGCAGAATCATTTACAGAATGGAGTGAATATGATATAGGGACTTTATTTACAACAACATAATAAAGTGCAAAATGACCTATGCGCATTTTATCCTGGGATACATTCAGAACCATAATAAATGGGACATTGACCAACATATTTGATTTTGATGATGGCACTCATCAAAATGTAAATTTTGTATCTGGAAAAAATAGCATTTTTCCAGAAACAAAAGTTTCTGTATCTGAAAAAGATGGATCTGGAATATACACTGCTCAAAAAAATAAAGGGAACACTCAAATAACACATCCTAGATCTGAATGAATGAAATATTCTCATTGAATACCAATGGAGGCCTGGATTTGGAGCCACACCCAAAATTAAAGTGAAATGTTCCCTTTATTTTTTTGAGCAGTATATTAAAAAGTGTTATCAGGAAAACCTCCAAGCACACTAGTTTTTCCTTAACATTTTTACAAATAATGATGACAACCTTGACAACATAGAATAAATAGCTCCTAATTTTCATAAATATTTTGTAAGTGTGTAAGTGTGGTCTAAATTGTGCCATGTGATGAACTGGCAACCTGTCCAGGGTGACCCCACCTCTTGCCCATTGGCCACTGGACATAGGCACTAGCATCCCTCCAGACCCCACTAGGGATAAAGGTGTAAGAAAATGGATGGATGAGTCAAAATTGGCCAAAGAAATTACAGAGCCCACAGTAACTGAAACACTAAATGATGCATTAATAAGTAGGAATCCAGATTGCAGGTGGTGCTCACAGTAGTGGAAGGAAAAGAAAATATAGATATAGTAAATACATGTAATAAAAGGTCAACTGACTTTGATGGTATTGACACGGTAACAAGAAGGTGATTCAGAGTTTTATAAATTAAAAAAGTGGTTTGATATTAATAAATTATCACTAGATTGAGATAAAACCAAGTTTATATTATTTTGGAATTGTGAATGGGATACATAGTAAAATTTGCAGAGTAAATCTTACTCAATTTGAGGAAAATTTTACCCTAAAAAAGACATTTGATCCCAGTCTAAATAGAGTAAAATTTACTGTCATGAAATTATGGAGTAAAATCAACTTTATTTAATGCAAAAACTTTAATCAATGCGATGAGAATTTACTCAAAGTTGTTTAAAAGATAAGCCACTCTACCATATTTTCACTCCAAGTAGGATATAATTTACTCTAAATAGAATTGCATTTTTTTCTAAGTAGAGATAACTTTTACTATGAGTAGAAGGGAATTTTACACTAAATATAATCAAATTTTATTCCAAATAATGTCAAATTGTGCTCTGAAAAGCACAAAATTTTACTCCTAATTTAACTGAATGGTACTCCATAAAGTGCTACACTAAAAAGCCGTTAACACTGAATTAAATTCTAAATAGAACCAATTTAACTTTATTTCACTCACTATGCAATTATATTTACAGCTATTATACACTGCTAAGTTTGTAAGAGTATAATACATAGATCAGAAATCAGTATTTTAACAGTCCTTTTTATTGTTCACATGAGACAGTGTGGAACAATATAAAAACTTACATCTCCATGACTGCATGACCTCTGTGAATGATAAGCTTTGGAACAGAAAACCAGTCCAATGGTCAGTAAAATGTATGCCAACTGAAAGCAATATAACTTTGATGCTTTAATGCCAGGGTTTTTGTAACATTAAGTGACGGTGGCAGGAGGTGCACAAGGATCAAAATGGATGACGTCACTGTCCCATCCTGGAAGAAAAAGAAAACTAAACATAAGCTGCCGAAAGTTCTTATTTCCAACTGTGTCAACACTTCCAGAATAAAGTTTAGCAAAAAGTGACGGCAGGTGGAAGTGTTGCACTTAATGTATAATGAACAAATTTATATAAAATTCTGTTACATTAAACACTTTCTTTATAATCCAGTCCAACTTACCATTTTCCACTTCTGTTGAGAATTCACCATTGTGAAGAAGGTACTGTTAAGAGAATAAAAATAAAAACTTTTGGCTCGTTATATTCTCTTGTGCTCCCAGATTCAATTGATTCCATGTGTGGAAACAAAAGCCTCACAGAGATGACAGTAAACGCTCCACATCCTACATTTTCAGTTTATTCTAACATTTAAAAGTATAAAATCACATTGACAACACAGACACTCCAAACACATTAAAACAGACATTCATTTACCTGAGACAAATGGAAAAGAAGAACAAAGAAAGAAAGAAAAGAAAGCAAAGACGTCTTTGCAAGAGCAAATCTGATTTGTTACTCCTGTGTGCAAAGTTTTATAGTAAAGGCGTATTCTTATCTTTAATTTATTCAAATAAGGCGTATCTTTGCTCAGCCAACCAGGAGCTGTCTTTGACCCTTTTTAAAGTTAGAAACTCCCTGCAATTTGTTTTCAAGATCTAACACCAGTTGTCACCTTTATCTAAACAAAGTGGAAGCAGCGCTTCTCCTCCACTGGCCTGAACTCCTGCTGTTTTACGGCTTTTCACAGATCAGTGTGAAGCTGGAACTTCTCCTGATTGTTTCCCACACAGACAAAGGGCAGTTCAGAAGATCTTAGCAAACAATCTGCTGTAACTACAGGTAACATAAAGGTTAATAGGGCAGAATAAGTTATCAATGTGAAAACTATAATTAGGCTATTTCAATCAAGACATGTTAAGTTTTAAAACTATCATATTCTAAATTTATTTTCTTAACAGCACTGATTGTCGTCAGACTGTGTGAGACCACAGCTTTGTTCAAGGACTTTCTGCTTGTAGACAGTGGGCCACTTCTCCAGGAACTTTGCAGAGATGGCTTCCCCGAACATCAATGTAAAATCTTGCTCAACCTGCAGAATAGATGAAGTCAAGTTTTTAAAAATAGTTTTGTTAAACAAACTTTCTCACATCCACCTTAACTTAAACCAGTGTTTTTCAACCACTGTTCCGCGGCACACTAGTGTGCCGTGAGTGATCGTCAGGTGGGCCGTGGAAATTATCCAATTTCACCTATGGTACCGTATTTTCCGGACTATAAGCTGCTTCTTTTTTCCTAAATTTTGAACCATGTGGATTGTAACCTGGTGTGGCTTTTCTGTGTATTTTTCTTCAACCACCAGGGGGCTCTCTAGCAGGAAGTGAATCATTAGAAGTCAAAATTGTAAATCAAAGAAGAACGCGTTAATTTTCATTTACAACAACCACATGCTAGCAACAGGGACGACGGAGAAATGTTTTCAAACTCATATGATGCACCTTTTAAGTTGAGGGCTGTCGAGCTGCCACTACAGGAGGGAAATAGAGCCGCTGCACTTCAGCTCGGCGTGAACGAAACCATGGTTAGTAGTGGCTAGCGGCGTAATCATGTATTTTTCTTACCACGAGATGGCAGTAGGTACAGAGCATTTTGCATTAAAACAAGAGAATTAGTGATGCATGAACGTTACAGGTAGCGGTGAGATCATCGTATCTAGCAAGACTGTGACGACAGTGATGGAAAAGACTGAAGCTCAGCAGTAGTTAGAAAGAACATGGGTCC